AGTTGGGGAAAGTGAAGCAGGTTGAGATATCAGACCTGGCAGGATGGGCACATTGGGTCTGGCTCATGTGTCAAGGCAGACTTTGGCTGCAGTGGGAAGGAAATGTTGACAGGGATTGCTGACACAAATTTAGCTCCTGGTGGCCTTACCTTGGTTTGGATTACTGGGGATGCAGTCCTATACACAACTAGCAACAAACTCTTGGATGTGAACACCTGTGGGTGTTGACAGGTTAGGTTAATTGATGTACATGGTAAAGTGTTCATATCCTCTTAAACACAGGGTTCACCAAAGCAACTGTGGCCTCTAGATGAAAAGCAATGTACTCCACACCCCAAAACTAGTGCTTGATTGGTCCTGGTGTTGCCTTTTTCCCAACCTGGAAATGAAACTCGAAATAATTTAATAAGGAAGTAGTGTAAGAGTGAATCTTTATTTGAAGGCCTTCAGGGGAAATCATGGAAAGATATCTGCAAAACCCGACCCTCCCAATGGTCCTAAAACCATTTCCATAGGTTTTAGGAATTAACATAATTGATAAAAAGCACAAATTAGGAGGGCAAGTGGTGATGTAATTCCCCCCCAGGTCAAGCCCTTTCTCTGGAGTTCCCCCCTTGGCACTGGCTTTGTCCATGAAAATGTATCTTGAAGAGTTGTTCTAGGCCTTGGTTCCAAGGAGGAACCAAGATAGCATAGGAGCCCTGCATCTCCCAGGGCTTGGAGCTCTGGAATTTGTTTTGTCTTTCTGCCTAAGCAAAGGCCATGGAAAAGTACTGGGAAAACTAGCCACTAATACAATAATCTACAGAGCTACAAATATATGTGCAAAGAATACAGAGAACATATAAAAGAAAAAAGGCAAAACCCAGGAGGCATCACTTGTGCTCTGGGCATCACTTTGTCCTTTCCTCAAAACATCAGCATGGCCCCGGGCCACCTGCAGAGCTGTCTGGTTGTGACTGGACAAATACAGCCTTCAGAAAAATAGGCCTTACCCAGACTAAGGGCAGGCATCTGCCAGAACTGCGGGACCAGACCCCAAACCTGGGAAATGAAACAGCTCAATCAAAGGCAATGGGGAAAAATGTCACCTGGAAAGAGTTAGCCATTCAATGCGGAGGCAGAGGGGAGGGCATGCTGCTTTAATCTTTTTATAGTACAAAAATTTTGTGACTGAATTAAAGCCCTACTGTTTGGACTGGATGATGTTACGTAATTCTCAGAAACGAGAGCAGCTGGCTACAGTACAGATACCTCCTAGCAAGCCCTGCAGTGCACAGAACATCATTTACCAAGGCTGTAAAAAAATACACTTATTAAGGGGCTTGGGAGTGAAGTCTGACATGCTGGCTTGGCTTTTAGCTGTCTGGATTTCATTTACAGCTCCTCTGTTTTATTTTCCACTAAAATAAATAAATAAATAAAGCTGTCTTTGCCCACTTTCCCTAACTTCTTTTTGGCATGCCTGTGGGTAAATCCAGAGCAGAGAGCCCATGGGTATTGACGAAAACGTTGCTAACCTTGTAATGGCAATGTAGCTAAACAAGCAAGGGCAAAATTCACATTCAAGAGGATGTAGAAAAAAGCAGACAAGTAATGGAAATATTAGAAATCACCTGATTGTTGGAAATTTTCACTCTGAGGAAAATGGAGAACAAGACAAGGTCCTGAACACACCAAAAATGGGAGTTTTGCAAACATTTATTGCTATTTCCTGATCCCTCCTCTTCCTGTCTTTCACCCACCTCTTCCTGCTAGCTATACAACCACCAGATTTGCCACTTTTTCATTTGCCTCTTTTCTTTACTTGTAGAATTGGGGGCAGGGGAGGTGAAGGGAGGGGGCGGAAAAATTATGGTTATGGGGTCTGTGTTTTGCCATTTAGATACAGGACAGATTTTGTTGCTCGGGCAGTTGCCAAAATGGACCCTGAGATCAGCCCGGTGTTCCTGCCCTGATTTGCAGAGGTGGAAGGTGACACTGACTGCACTTACGCACCCATCCTGACTTTCCCACAGCACTCAAGTCTGACAGCAATTTCAGTGTGTTGATCATCTACCCATAGTTTATCTGGTTGAGAAATAGCTGATGCTATTTTTGAAATACTGTTTCCCAAAGTTATTAAGAGCTTTTTAATTATTATTATTATTTTTAGTATTGGAAAATGTGTCTCTGGATCAGCCAATCAGCCATGCTCCAAAACCTGTTGGGACCCAGGAAGCCTGGGCCTTGTCCAAGGAAATTTCTCATTTTAAAGTAAAATAATATAAGCCCCCCCTCCCCCCAGTTTGTACCTGTAATACCATCTACAGGTAGACAGCACTTATGTACAGGTACATATATACTTAAGGTACATAGCTGAACTTTAAGTAAAATATTTGAAAGCATGCGAATGTAAGTACTTGAAACATTAAAGAATTCAAAATGTAACTTCAGTTTTGAAGGTCTTGAAAAGTACACATGATAGCACTGGGGATAGAAGGAATTTCAATTCTTCCACAATTTGGAAATCAGTTTAGTTCCTTATAGGCTAAATTTTATTTACCCATCCCTCCCTGCAGTACTTGCCACCAGAAACATGTGAACGTTTAGGAGCTGTTAACGGATTTTTTATCCCTCTATTCAATGTTTCAGGATTTTAAGAATGGTCTGATGCTTTACCTTCCCTATGCTGCCAGACAGCTGCTTGCCTAGGAGTGTGCTGTGCTGCTAAAGCAAGTGCAGTGATCAGTGCTGATGGTTGGAAGAGGAATGCAGCTTTGTGACCTCCCCATAGGCACCATGCCAGGCATGAGCGGGGCCAGCCACAGCACTACCCTGCTATTGCCATTTTCAAAGTGTGTCTTTTTTCCTCCTGGCTGAAAAACTCTAGCAGATTTTGGGAGAGCAGCTAGAACAGGAGAGGACACATGCCACAGTCCACCATCACTTAACTGAGTGCCGGAAATTTGTCACTTCGGTATTATCTTAATTGGGCAGGATCTGAGTAGCAGAGTCAGGGAGCAGCATCGGGTGGGCAAGGGTCCCAGCAGCGCACTGGGCAGCACAAGAAATGCACTAAGGGCTGTATTCTGACTTTGGAAGTTAACATGCTGGCTTCAGCAGGAGCCATGTGACCATAACTGCTGCCAGAGGACAGGCCCCAAAGTTTAGTATTTCTCCAAATGAAGTATAAAAATAATTATGAGCTTAGCCTGCAAAACTTGGGCCTGAATTCGTAACCATCTGGTGTTAATGGCCTGAAGCGAAACTTCAGACAAAGGTTTCATTTTACTTACTATTCATGAGAAAAGCTTCTGGCCAGTGACTGAAGCTTTGCTTATTACTGATGGAGCTTCATACCTACTGCCTTGCTGAGGGGTAAGGCAGAAGCCTGATGCTGCTCTGTTTTGACTTTAGGCAGGTAGCACTGAGCACAGGCAGTTGCTTGGGATTGCTTGGAGCACACAGGAGAATTAAGAATCTTGATGTAATATTTATATTCTCTCCATTTTCACTTTCACTGACATTAAACTTAATCTTCCTAAAAGCCCCTGCCCAAGAGTTTATTGAATGGCAAAAAGGTTTCCATGCTGAAATTAACTCCCACTGCTACTTATCTGTGACCAAAAGCTGTTTTTAGGCTCTTTGTCAGAACAAATCTCAGCTGCATAGCTGTTCAGAAGTGGGTGGAAGGACTGTGTGGAAAGCATATACTTTTTTTCAGTTCAACTGAAATTTTGCAGACAAAGCCTTTGCATCCCAAATAGCTGGGATAGATGTTCTAATTCTCAATGGGGCAGTCAGAAGATGGTGACATGTTGATAAGGAGAAACATGTAGCTAAAAGTGGCAAACAAGATCTCAGGCTTTTCTGAAAAGTCCAAGAGAAACTTCCCTGCTTATTAAAGTTTCTGATGGAGACTTTTAGACATTGCTGTGTGGTCCAGAAGGTGTTACTCACTAAGCATGAGAAATTTGAGTAAGAAATGGCAGTGCTATTGAGCCTGCTTCCGTACAGACATTCTGGTGTTTCCATTAAAAATTTTAGGTCAAAACTCAAATGTTCCAGGTGGGAAATTTATTTTCTCTGCTTTTCTCTATGTGGTCCAAGTACAGCAGCTTATGAAGACCATCAGGGTTGTATTTCTGGATCAAAATAAGTTTTCAGCAAAAATACTTCATTTGTTATTTCTGGCCAACAGCACCCCCTACCACCCCACCCCCTTCCCCCCCCAAAAAACCCTCCTGCCCCCTCTAACAACAAAAGAAACAAAACAAAAGAAAAAATTGGAGGGGGGGAGATGGCAAATGGAATTCTTATTTTGATTATCTGCAATGTGCCCAATAACCGTATTTCCACAAAAGAAGCAAGAGACATAGAAATGAGAAACCACTTTAAAAATCTGCTTTTCCACTGCAATCTCATCTTCCTAAAGTTTTTGCCAGCCAATTTTTCATACCTTGATGCTTGTTGTTAGACACTTTCCCCTTAGGGCACCTTGTTGTGTGAAAAATGCCGGTGCTTGCAGCACTCTGGCAAGTGTTAGCCACTGCAATCAGACTGAGATGTTTGTCTGACCCTTAACCTTCATGGCACATGTCCATACTAGTGGTCCTTAATGGTTTGGAAGAAATTTCACAGGAAGTCATCCTGGGCAGGGCAGCATGGTAGCTTGCTGGTTTTCTGCTGTAAGCTGTACCATTTGCATGCTACTGGAGCGTTTGCCCTTGGTTTTCTTGCACATTACCTCCTCCTCGGCTTTGGACTTGACACAGAAATTTCCAGAGGTAAACTTTTGATCTGTAAGGTGCAGAATGTAACCACACTGAATACTTGGTTTCTCTCCTCCTCATCTCTCTCCTAAGACTGTCACTCACTGGGAAGCCTGTTCTATGCTCTGCTTTTATTCATGGAGCTGTGACTTACATCAAGACCCACTGGGGAGGGTGTACCCCCATGTCAGCACCAGCCTCAGCTTTACATTATCATTCAGCTAGCACCTTTGTCTTCTCTTACAGTGTTTGCCAGAATCCTGAAGGCTCCTGAATCCCAAAACATCACTTTTGGGTCTGTGGTGACACTGCGGTGCACAGCGACCGGCCTTCCAGTCCCTACTGTAACCTGGCTGGAAAATGGGAAAGCTGTAAGTGCCTCTTTTTCATGCTTTTGGCACTGGAGGATGGCTATGAGCTGGAAGCACAACAGGCCTGGTTGTCAGCACCAATGGTTTCTATTCCTTCCTAACTTCCTTGTTTTTCAAACTGGTTGAGTCCAGCTCATCTCTCTGCTGCAGTTTTCTCCTCTGACAAAACATTGTTCCCATTTTCCAGGGTGTTGCATGACTTAATTTGTTAGGATCTGGAAAGCCCAAGATGAAGGGTGCTTTAGACCCTTTCAACCTTCCTCCAAGCCGGAATTTCTAGGACTTTGTCATGTATTTCTGCAGCTTTCCTTTTTTAACAATGTGGCAAGGCAAAATTATTAATAACAAGGCAAAATTGTGTATTTGACAAAGTAACACAAACTGAGGAGTTAGATAGAGGAAACTGTCTTGAGGTCAAATGCCTGTGGAAAAGCATTATGCACAGCACATTTGAAGAAGAGAATAGATCTGAAATTTTCTAGACTGACCTAGGTGTTGTAGAATATATCAGCAATTTATCCCTGACCAGAAGCATGTTATTAAGAGAAGCCCTCTTCAGTAGCAGGCACCAAGGGATGCAAATCTGCTGTGTCTCATAGGAAAGATTCCATGGTCTAATGACTGTGACCACTAAATATGGGTGCTTGCTTTCCGTTTTTCTGGCTTTCATGCCTGTGTCTAGGCTATTGCAATTCCTTCATTTCAGTGAGCTGAAGATCTGCTTGACGGCTTATATTGTCAGTGTGAGAGTAAGCAAAGCACCAGTCATGGCAGCTCTGCAGCCCAAGTCTGCATGGGTTCCCTCTAATCTTCATGTGCTTGAGGTAAACATGTTTTGTGCTCTCTTTGGTCTTTTGACAGCTTTTTAAAGGATGTGAGCCCCAGGGCATGACTCTATGGAGGCATGTGGAGTGTCTGCTGAGTGCAGGCTGGCAACTTTCCTCTGCTCTCTCTCACTGACCTCCTGCCAACCCTGAGTCCTTCTGAGCACAGGCTGATCCTGACCATCCCTGTGGACTTGCTTGTCCAGAGGACCAATAAATCCCTTTGGTTCTTACTTCAGGGGCTGTCTCTGTCCTGTTTGTATCTCCTCTTTCTGTACATTAAAGGAGGTTGTTAGGACCCCATGGCTACTCTGCAGGCTGTCTTGCCTTCCTTGCCTTCTCTATATTGTGTCTTATTGTGTCCTCCAGTATGATCAGGGCTAACTTTCTGTATTTCCTCAATGTTGCTAGGCAGAGCAGCAAAGGGATCAGATTAGCCTTTGCTGAGATGCATAGGTGCCCAGTGGTTTCTGACAATATTTAGTTTGAAACAACTCCAAGTGTTTATTTAAGATTTCTTCCCTACTGTGAATGAAACCTTTGGCAGGAGTCTGGTGTGCCTGGCAAGAGCATATTTCCAGAGCAGAGATCTGTGCTCTGCTGAGATCCCAGTGTGTGGGTCCCACAGAGACCTGAAATACGTGGGATGATGCTCAGCCCCTGCCTGGGCAGCTGCCTGACCGGTCATATCTGCTCTGCCCCATTCCTGTCTGAAAGGCATAGCCCAACCCCAGGAGGGTAGTGCTCCAGATTTATATATGGCAAGGAAACCTTAATGAGAGCCTGTCTCTGGGAGAGTCAGCAGGAAGCCATGGACTGGCTTTGAGGGCTGGTCCACAGCAATGGTGAGTCATTTGAAGATGCAGCATGCCTGTGGCATTATGGTCTCTCAACACCAACCTGTAATTGTCCTGAGGCTCAAAGAACAGGAGTTTACTGAGCTTGCTGAGCTTCCCTGGAAGAAGAGGATGGAAACGCCTCTGTGCAGCAGCTGCCTGGCCTACCTAAATAGAAACACAATTCATTTTCCTCCCGCTATGCACCACAGGACATCATGGACCTTATAATGTAGTTTTCCACACATCCAGGAATAAATGAGCCAGGTGTGAAGATATGAAGAGGTCTCTAATTTCCTGGTGGCTGAAGTGATGTTTTAAAGTCTAAAAAGAGAACTCCTGGAGACAAAATCTCAGGAAATCTGCTTGAAAAGAAAAGGGAATCAATTAATATAAGGGAACATCTTGAAATTTCCAGTAAAGAAAACAACAGATGGCCAGTGTGGAAGTCCTAGCCACCACATGCCTGTGCTTTTCCACTGTACATGGTGCATACTGTTTGTACTGCTTGCAGTTACCTGAGCAACCTCTTCCTCCTGCATCCCAAGCTGGAAGGAACAATCCCAGTTATCTGCGCTCAGCAGGCACAGTCCGACACTGCCAGATGTGGTACACCTGAGGCCTGAGGAGCCAGCAGGGAGAGAAGACTGGATTAACACAAACTGCTCATGGCAAGCAGCCACCTATCCCACCAAGATTCTGGAAGGTAGAAGTGGCCTATAGGAAATACCTCCTTCCCACTGAGAAGGTCCCTGCACCGTTTTAGTGCTGAGTGGTTTCTGGAGAGGAAAGGATTTTAAAGCTAAATTTGAGCATCTTTGTGACAAAAGAGGTATTCTGTGAAAAGATTTCCCCTGGGCTCCCACCCTCTTGAACTGATTTCATGTTATAAGGCCAAAAATATCCTTCCATCTGCACAGAGACCAACATACATGGTGCAGTATTTACAAACTCTGCTGGTCTGATTATTTAGTGATTTCTTCCCATGAACATCCTCTCACCACAAGTCCAAGCTGACTCTGAGTGAGGTAAAACAAATATATTCTTTTCAGCATTTTCTTTTCCTAGAGAATCCAATCTTCTTTCAAGACATGTTACAACACTGATGACCTCCTTCTTGCTTTTTCACTTATTGCTGTCAATACCTATGGGTATTTCATTTCACTGAAAGATCTCACTGAAAGCACATTTTTACCAACCTCCAGTATCAGTATGAAGGTAAGAGCAGGCAATGCTCTCCTTCCTACTGCCTTTGCAAGATAGAGTCTGTATGTACCATGCTCTCCTACTTTAATGAATAACATGTTTGCAAGAAAGACTTGATGGTAAATCAAGCCTGACTGCCCAAAATCAGCAGATTTCAAGCTCATTTAACTGGGAACTCCTGATCTGGGAAAAGAGCTGGCCAAAATCATCATTTTTGCTGCCCTTGCCATATTTCCAGTTGTGAGATTAAAAAATCTACCAGATATCTGCTGAAGTATTGGAGCCAGAGCATGTTCTTTGCACATGACTGCTTTGAGAGTATGGCAGGGGTTATATTAATCCAGAATCAATGACTTCCAAACTATTTTATTTTCTTCCTCTGTATAGCGGATGTTCACAAAACCATCTAGTGCCATTCCTTGCTAAAGCATGAAGAGGCAAATAATCTACTAAAAGAAGCCCAGTAGTAGCTAGCCAGCTCAACTGCATAAACCAAATTGTGACTTATGACCCTCTTGAACTGAAACATAATTGCAAAAGCATTGCAGAAGTGTGAAATAGGAGAGATCTTTTAACACTTATTTTTGTGTGTGAAGTCAGCTGCTATGAAAGCACCGAAGTAACACCAGCTTTAGAGAGCTTTAGCTCTCCACCACTTTTGTCTCCTTGCCATATCTTCCTCTGTGAATTTAAATGCTTGGGACTCTGTCTCAGATTTTTCCTTGGTTTGCTTGTTTGCATCTTTGTTTGAAATATTACTGCACTGGGCAGTAATATTTGTTTGAAATATTACTGCACTCTTTCAGGTTTCTGCAGGGTCTATAGCAGAAAGTGTCAAGGACAGAGTGGTTGATTCCAGACTGCAAGTGTATGTCACCCGACCTGGCCTCTTCACTTGTCTTGCCACAAACAAGCACAGCAAAACTTTTGGAGCCGCAAAAGCAGCAGCAACCATCAGCATTTCAGGTATGCAGGGAAAGAAGAGGCCATTAATTTTTTTAGCCTTTCCTGCTGGGTAAGAGGAAAGGGGTGTGGAGTACTCTGGAGGAAGAAGGAAAGCCTTGGAGAGCTTATAGTGTGCAGGGGCCTAAATTTGAGTACAAGTACATCCTCCACCAGGCTATTTCCTCATATACTCTTACACTTTGGAGACTGGCATAGCTGTCATTTCCTGAATGTTTGATGCTGTCTTGTACTTTGTGTCCCAGAAGCACATTTGGTAAGTTCATCCATGTGGAGGAAGTTGTGGCCATGACCCAGAGTTGGTATCATCTAACAGCAAAGTGAAAATAGCTTCAAACAGTTCAGCTTCACAAGGGGTTGGGATCCAGAAAGCAGGGTGGTTGCTGTCAGAGTAGTACCCTGCCCTGCCTGGGGCTATCTCTTTTCTCAGGGACACCTCCCAAATGTGAGAATGGATTACCAAAGAGGAGAAATACCTTTGTCAGAGCTAACAAACACTATTTTTCATACAGAGAAAAAGGTGGCAACTTGTCCCACCCCTCTTTGGACAGGCAGGAGGATTTAGTTAGAGGAAAGAGGAATCACATAGGACATTAGGATGGTAGCCCTGGTCCTGCTTTTAACCAGTCAGGTACTTGTTCATCTCTCAGTTCCTTAGCTTCTGCTTTCTTGAGAAAATAATCATGCCCTTTCTTACACTGGGCATTGAAACCCAGCAGGAAAATCTGCCCCATAAGGTGCTTAGTGCTTGGTGATGTATTTCCCATCCCCACTTCTGCTTTTAGCCCAGGTAAGTCTGTGTCCTACAAATGCAGTGGAGTGAACAGGTACTTTGAGCTGGTGGAAGCTGTACTCCTCCAGGCTGTGTGTGCTCAGCAGGAGGAGAACACCTCCCTAGACCTGAGCAGGAGTCTGCCTTGGCCTTGCCTCAGCTCACATGGCTCCCAGGACAGAGGTGCCCTGGCGCTTGGCTGATGCTCAGTGCCTCCTCCCTGTGCTGCCACTGCCCAACTCCCTGTGGCACTGCAAGTTGGGGCCACTGCTGTGTGCCACTGCAGCATCTCCAGGCCTGGCTTCTCCTGCTTGTTACAGCTGCTGCCTGAAGTCATGGATATCTACGTGGCTTAAGCAGGGCATGCTACCTGCTGGTTACATAGGGCCCAAGGGATCAGAATAAAAGTGTGGGTTTACGGTGCAAGAGTCCACTTCAGCTGGCACTGCCATCAGAAATCCACTTCCTTCTCCTCATTCTTTCTCACTTAAAAGTGTTCATTGTTGGCCAAATTTTCTTCCCCATGAGAAGATACAAAAAAAGGAACGGAATTTAGGTGCATTTTTTTTCGTACAGCTTACAGTTGTCAGACACATTTCCTAGCATGGAAATCTTGACTTATGCATCTCAGAGGGAACAATGAAGTGTCACTGATGTATTTTCCATTTCTTCTTTCTCCTGGATCATCACAATTCCTGGATCTGGTGCCTCTTGGCAGAATGGAGGTAAGAACGACTTTCTGTGGTTTTGTGAAGGCTCTTTCTGGGCTGGGGAGAGGAAGAATGATGAACCAAGAGGGTTGGTTAATTTGGCTTAAATGAAGGGGTAGGGTTTCTGCATGCCAGCTGTGCAGATGAGTTTTACCCAAAGGGATCACTGAGCTCCTTTACAGAGGTATAATTGGAGACTAAGCTTGGGTAGATAACGATGGTTTTGAGTCAAGCCAGCAGTAAGGGTGTTTGGAATATGGTAGTGGGGAGAATATTCTGAGGGAAATTCTATTCGGTTACAGATCTACAGTTTCCCTTGATCTTATAAATTTTCATGGCAAAGCTTAACGCATGTTAAATTCCTGCCTGTTCATGGTTAATAAAAGTATTTTGGTTTTGTACTCACCGGATTAGGGCAAGAGAAGGTTATATTTGTTCCAAGCAGAATTATGGATGAGTGGAACCACTTACCACTTACATGTAATGAGAAATGAACTTCTGCTTAGTAATTTTTGCAGGAGTGAACAATTTAGCTGGCTCTTTCTCTTTAGAATCCTTCCGTGCTTCTACCTGCTGCACTGGCTGATCAGTCTGGAAGGAAAATTAGAATGTTAGCCTGGGAGAAGTTCTGGGAGCTTCTTGCCGTCATAAAAGAGCAGAGCTTGGGAAAGTCTGAGCAAATGGCTTTGCCACTCTGCTGACACAGACACCCTGAAAAAGCTCCCTGCTTTTGCTCCTGAGGCACAGGAAGGATGTAACTTTCAAATTAAGCACAATGAGAATCATCAGGAAAGTGTAAATAACATGACCCCTGCCATGCCAAGAACAGTTCTAGCAGCGTGCTGGGATCAGTGCATTGCTTTGGGGAAACCTGCTGTGTGCTGGGGAGATGTCATGGGCTGTGAGACTAATGCAGCATGCTGGGGGACTCCCGTGTCACGTGAAAGTGTGTCCATGGAGCCTGGGATGATGCAGTGTCAGAAAATCACTGCCATTTTGGTAAACCTCAAGAGATTGGTGCCCTCCTGTATTTTTTATCCAATGTGACACAGAAAGAATATTAAAGAAAAAATTTGCATGGAGCCCAAAATAAAGCAGCTAAAACAGGGCCAGGGAGTGTCATCTGCAAAGAGCATCATCTAAAGAACAGAAATGTGAGCATCCTGTGTAATCCCTTGTCAATGTACCTCCAGCTTTCTGAAGAAAAAACAGCAAGAAACCCCAGAGTTAACAATGGGTGATTATTTGGACAGCAGAAAGAAATAAAAGGCAAAGATACAAATAGCTCTGTTGACTGCTCCAAATGGTTGGCGTGTTGTGAATTGAACTCTCTGACCCCAGTTACACTGACCAAATGAGCAGTGGGGACAGCTGCACCCAGCCCTCCTCCCTGCCCTGATTTGGCCATTCCCCACACACAGGGAGTCTGTTCTCCCAGCTGGCTCCCACACCAAGGACACTGCATCCCATGGGCTGCCTAGGCAGAGGGCACCTCCTCTCCCAAAGACCTTGCTGCTGTTGGGTGACTGTGGGAGCTACAGGAAGCAAAGCTGACCTGTGCATTGTCCTTACCCTGCTGCTCCCTTTTGATGGCCACGGGGAGGAAGGGAGGGAGGGAGAGATCTCCTTCTAGATGCAAATAACATAGGAAAGATAAATGAATGGCCCTCAAAGAAGATGCCCTACTGTGATTTTTTCTGCTCCTGCATAGCTCTGTCTCCATGCTATGGGGCAGGATTTTGCAAAATGGGAGCTGTCCTGAAGAAAGAAGATGCACATTGCAGAGAAACACCAGGAAGAAAAACACAAAGACTTGTGCCTTCTTCTTCTCTGAGTCCCCCAGCTAAAGGTGTGGAAGATGGGCAGGGTCAGGAGTGGTGTAGAAACTGAGGGAGGGCAGGCAGGAGCTTGGTTTGATCTTGTGAAAACTCCCTGGCATGGGTGATGGGTTGAACTTACCTGACTTCTGCTCATCAAATCTATCTTAAATTAAACTAATTCTTGTTAGACAGCAGAGCAAAAACATCCCAGGACTGCAGCAAGCAGCATGGCTGATCCCCACTGCAGGGAAGCAGGAAAGTATAATCTTTTCCCATTAGAGCCTAGGGATAGGATGAGGGGCCATGCTAGGTCATGGTTCTGTGTGATTACTCAGTCTTTCGTCCACTTATAATGTTAACAACACTTGGTCAGAGCCTAATCCCTGAAGCTCACCTGGGCTGGCACCAGGATACCTTGCAAAAGTTTTGTTCTTGGATTATGTTATCTGGTTTTAGTGGTTATAGACATACTATCTACTCTGCCCTCTCTTAGCCTTACACATGCCACTTTATTCAGAAACAGGGCCATTGTGCTCGTGCAGCTGTTTTAATCTGTGAGCTTACTGTGTGTGTGTGCTCTTGTCCTCAACAGCAAGCTGTACAAGGGTGATGCAGGCTACTGCAGCACATACAGAGGTGAGGTGTGTAGTGCTATCTTGGCGAAGAATGCTCTTGTTTTCTTCAACTCCTCGTATGCTGACCCAGAGGAGACCCAAGAGCTGCTTGTGCACACTGCCTGGACTGAACTGAAAATGGTGAGTTCATTCTGCCAACCGGCTGCTGAGTCTCTGCTGTGTAACTACATCTTCCAGGAGTGCAATCCCTCGGGAGCTGGCCCAGCTCCAAAACCAGTGTGCAGGTAAATGAAGAAAAACATGCTCATATTTCACTTTCATTTTGTGGGGATGTGTATGCAGCAGGGGAGTGGTGAGGGACTGTCCAGGCTTGCAGTAGCAAGTGAAGCTGAGTAAAGCTGGGCCCTCTAGGTTTGCACAGTTTCCCTTTGCTCTCTCCTCTGCACACACAGACGGATTCAGCTCTCACTGTGCTTGTTGCTAGGGTATGGTCTGAATTTGAAGTCCAGACCTCTACATTATATCAGGTGTTTGGAGAACACTGTTGAAAAGAATTTTCCATTTGAATTACACAGGTAGTTTCAATAATTAACATACTGTTATCTGTTACATCTTACTAGGCCAGTATGTATACTTTTCATCACTATAAAGAGTAATTGTTTCTTTGGAATTTTGACTAAATTCGGCTCCAGAAGATCCAACAAATCTGGCCAAGGCAATATGCCAATAATTTAGCAATTCCTGCTGTGACAAGAATGTGACAAAAATGATGAGACCAGAGACATTGCTTGTGTAATTGTACCTGATAAACCAAAAGTCCAGTGTAGTTATTGTGTCCCTCTATATGCAGAGAAATGTGCATTGAAATTGGGCTGACAGGGACCCTGAGGAGTCCAAAGCTTCTCTCACTATAGTTAATCTACTGTTGACAGGTATTTGTAAACACATCCCAGTGACAGACACTTCTCCCTCCCTACGCAACCTCCTGAGCAGTCCTTCCTTCGTTGTTCCTTGTCCTCCCACCATGGCCATGGAGCCGAGTTTCTTTCCTCTTTGCAGTGAAATTTTACATCTTTCCCAGATTCTCTGACTAGAACAAAACAGGTTTTTCCAAGCTCCGCACATAGCTTTTGCTCCTCTGCCCAGTCCAGGTTTTGTTATTTTTAACTATAATGGAATTATGATTACTTGGTGTGCTTTGCATAGGACAGCCCCACACACATATATCAGGGTGAAGCTTTCTTTTCTCCTGACATATTCAGCCCCTAGAAACTAGTCATTACCCATTTCACATTTGGGCAGCTGACACTCCTGCCTGAAGTGCACTGCCCTGTTCTTTGTCCTCCTTGGAACACTTTTTAAAATGCTATTCAGATCTGCATTTATTGGAAGAGTAACCCCAGCTCTAGTGTCTCAAATAAAACACAAATCTTTTCTACAGACCTGGGAAGCATACTGCTTGCTGGACTTGGGCTGGATGTCTAATGGCAATAATTTCTCCAGTTATGTAGGAGATTTTTAGGACAATCAGCAGCAGTTTTTGTAATTGGGACCTTTTTTGTTGCTCCTTCTTTAATATCTCTAAAACAAAGGCACAGAGGAAAATCCCAGTGTGAGCATTGACCATACATTTAGTTTTTTATTTGGTATCTATGCTGCCTAGTATTCTACCATCAACAAGAGGTGGCCTATATCCTACAAAAGGAGATTGTCCAAGGATCCAGGGATAATCTTGCAGCCAAGTACTACAATTTGCTTTTTGCTGGTAGGCTTCTCCCTGCCACCTCAATATTCTGCTCTTTGTTGTTGTGATCTTAAATATATGATCTTTCTGCCTTTTTTCTGTGGCAATATTTATATGTCATCCGCACATGCACAGCACATTAGTCAGCTAGGGGTTTTGCACATTGTTCTGCACAGTATTTCAGTTAGATCTCTGCCTTGCTTCATTTATCCCTGCTCATTCCTGGCACTGCAGGACCACAACTCACAGTGATTTGACTGAAGACCTGTAGTTCTGGGGCACTTCTAAAATCAGAATTATATAAACCAACATAAATATTGATCTTGATGCGCCTGAGCTAACAGTCACAACATTTGCAAATATGTCTAAATGTTAATGGGCTTGCCTGGAACCATTTTTCTTCAAATCCATGAACAAATTTTAATTATTCCTCCCTCCTTCCCCCCTGATTTTAATGCAGCTTTCTTCATAAGAAAAGTCCTGGAATAGCATCCTTCCCATTTCCTGTCCTCAGAGGACATCAGCTGAACAACAGTTCTTCCAGACCCCAATACTCGTTTTGATAACTCAGACATCAAATATATACTTCTTAATGGCTGAGAGAGGTCTGGGGGCTCTTGAACATGTCTCACATGGTCTTGGTTACTTTCCAATTCTCTTAACTACTTTTTACTGACAACTTTATGGCTTTCTGCAGAAGCTGGCTAGACTACAAAAGTTTTCAGCTGAAATGCTTCATGAGTAAGAATTTAACTCTCTCAGATGTGGGAGAATTCTCCCACTTTTTGAGGGACATAGTGCCCTCGATGTATGTCCATATATTTTTATCTTATTATTTTCTTTTTCTGCACCAATTTTTCTCCTTCCATTTTTTTTTTTTTAATGTTCATTTGGTTTGGAAGCTAGCTATCAAGAGTAACAACAGACAGGCTGAGTAAAAGCTTTTATAAAAGTAACCGGGGTAAAACAAGATTAAATGAAGCAGAATAAAAAAAAACACATGGGAAAAGTTCACAATGTAAATTTAGATGCAAATTGATTAAGATGAGAGTTCTTAAGGTAAAGTGATGTTTCATCTAAAATTCTCAATTATGTCTGCCTCTTGTCCTTGGCTGCTACTGCAATAGCAGAAGAAATACCCCCGGTTTGTTTCAGTCACTGCTGATAGGAAATGATCAGGCTGTAGGGAACACTCTTGTATTGGGGAAAGTCTCTCTTTGTTTGGGTCTGTGTACCCCCACCTCCTTTTACATGGTCTCTCCTGGTCCCTAGAAGCACGACTGGCAGACTTGCTGTCCTCTGCCATTTCTGTTCTTTGTCCATCTGTCATTTACATGACGTAACATTTCTAATAATAACCTGAATGCCTGTAACCTCAGCAAGCTCTGCCTGCTCAGCATCATCAGGTGCTACAACAATGGTATGAGCCCAGCTAGAGGTGGCTAACCATGCCTCCCTCTGGCTGCCTTGCCATTCTTCCAGGGTGCAGATAACTTTCCTTCAACCCTGGTGCATACAGGATTGCAGAAGAATGGTCTTTTCTGTTTTGTAATTGAACACCAAATAAAGGGCTTATTTAAGGATGCTCAGGATCCAGGAACGAACAGAGCTAATTCAATCCAGATCTCCCAAGTCTCATCCAGTGCTTCAAATGCAAGTTTTTCTCATTTCCCTATCTAAGCATTTCTTTACTTCACAAGGTCATTCCTGTTCCACATGTTGCTTAACATAAAAAATATATATATTTGCCATCTGGCTGCATTCTGACTTCCATATAAAGGAGAAAGGAATAAACCAGGACTGGCTAAAACCCAGCACAGAGCAGCTGGGCATTGATGATTTCAGCCTGCTGAATGGAAGGACATCCATTACTGTTGCAGAAAAGCTGTTTCTCTGCTAGAATTCCCAATGACCTCCATCCTTCAGGTGCTTTAGAGGGTTTGCAGTGTTGTTAGCCATTGCTGAAACTCATGACCATCTGCTCTTGCCAAAACTGTTGTATAATTAAAGAGATTACATCAACCCACCAGTTGGTGAATTTGGCTAAATCTTTCACCACAGACCCTGGAAGTACCTTTCTCTTTCTGCATCATTGTTTGATGGTGGGGAAAGTTGTGGATCTGGGAAAGACATCAGCTGAACTGTGCAAGAGAAATCTCTGCACATAACCTCAAAGCTGAGTTTGTAATCCAGGCTCTCAAGAATGGCTACACAGAAAAACAAATCACTGATAAATTGACCAATGCAACAAACCCACAAGCTTCCCATTATGGTGTGCTTTCTTTTTTTTTTTTTTTTTTTCCTAGTGCAGGTATTTCTGCCTTGCCCGTCTTCACAAACAATTTCTGATATAAGGCCCATTTAAGCATCCAAAGCACTTCTTGTCAGGGAGTATTTCAAATTTTTATGGAGGTAATACATTAGGTGGGAGACAAGTCACTTTTTTACCAGGCAATCAAAAGCTTTTACTGCAGATATTTACAGAGAAAAAATGGACTTAAAGTTGCCTGTAGAGACAATAAAAAAGTCCTTTTTACTTTGTTCAATGAGACTAAAAGTATATGCAAATGTTTAATATAAGAAGGTTAAGAATTGCAGCTTAATTGCATCTTGCTTTTAGTAGGTGACACTTCAATGTACAATTTATTGAAGCCAAGTGAGATTTTTAGAGTATACTGAAAAATTCTAACTCTAGATATAAGAGGGAGACTATTTACAAGAGCATGTAGTGACAGGACAAGAGGGAATGTCTTAAAATTGAAAGAGAAAAGGTTTAGATTTTATAATACAGAATAAATTATTTACTGTGAGGGTAGTAAGACACTGGCACTGGTGGCCCAGGGAAGCTGTGTATGCCTCATCCCTGGAAGTGTCCAAGACCAGGTTGAATGGGGCTTGGAGCAACCTGGTCCAGTGGCAGGTGTCCCTGTCCATGGGAGGGAGTTGGAATTAGATGATCTTTGATGTCTCTTCCAACACAAACCATTCTATGATTCTATGATATTTATTAGTAGAAGATGTAAAAAATCTGTAGAAAAAAATAGGAATGAACTTCTCATATCTTGGTGTGTGTTGTGTTTTGAGCATAACCCTGCTTCATTAAAAATGTAGGTTTGTATATTTCTTAAAGGAAGCTGTTGCATTTCATACAGTTTCCTTTATGGTTTATGAGCCAGACAGACTTGCTTTAAAGAAGTGTCACCCCATTAATGGATTTCTGTCAGCCTGCATAACCCTGCATATCACTGCTAAGTGCAGACATTTTTTCCAAGCCATTGACAGCTGTATTTCACTGTTTTTTGCAAAACAATGTAGAGAGAATTGCCTTGCTGTAAAGGATCTCTACTGCTTTAAGGAATGGCTCTCAATGGAGGAGAACTCTCAGAAGGGGATTTACAAGCCAGGACTGATGCTGCTCACTCTTCCTGAATGCAACAGGTTGCCCAGCCTGCACCAGAATCCCGGCTCCTGCACCCGCATCCCTTTCTTTGGTAAGGTGGCACATGCTGCTGATTATCCAGAGAGATGTGTTCTTGGTAAGGGAGAGGCGAAAGGTACGATCCATAATTTACGACTGAAGTAAAAGATGATGGTGCGTACTGTCCAGCACCTGTGCATGGAATAGTGACAGCTGCTTTGGCTGTTTGCCTTTTCATGCAACTGGGGTATGAGAAAAATCCCTCAAGTAAATAAAGCCTGGATCTTTATTGAGAAGATCATAAAAATCTCAAAAAACAGTCTTAATAATACAAAATTGCTGTTCAGGAGCCCTTGCAAGGAAACAAACTGTTTAAGCACTGCTAGGGAGAGAACCTTTTCCTGTAACGTGCTTCTCAGTGAGCATCCAGTGATATTGCATCCTGGACAATCCTTCCTTACATCTTGTCTTCTCTTTTTACAGATTTTAAGAAGGAGAACATAACCAGTAAGTAGACTGCTCTGGACTCTAAGTTTTTAAAGATGGACATGATATTCTTCATTGAAGCTGCCATTTGCACAGTATATTTTGTTTTCTGCTGGTCCTGTATGGCTGAATTTAGTTGATTACTGAAGAACATCTGTGTTTCTACATCCAAGGCATGGGAAAACATATTTCCAGATCTTCAGAGGTGGGGGAGACCATGGGCTGGTAACTTTTTATGAGATGTTTTAGATGGTACCCTCCCCTACAGCTGTTTCCTTTTCTTTCTACCTATTGGTTTTCATTCCCCTCTACCCATAATTGTATTTCTGATTCTGAGGTCATCCCAGCCTTATATGTTAACCACATGGTTACCTATGTCAGCCTGGGCTTGCAAGACCTTTAGCTCCCAGCACTCCCCTCAAATCACCTCTGAAGTCTGGCTATTTCTTGTATGAGGCTCCCAAGCCCAGTGGTGAGACCCAGACTACTGCAGTGCTGCTTTGACTTCTGTCAGGTTCCCACCCTGCTGGTCATGGCTGAAACACACACACACAACCCTTCCACTCAGATGCAGTTGCGATTTCAAGCTCAGACACTGAATTTCTCTCATTAGAAAGAAGAAGAATCTCTCTCTTGCCATGCATCTAAGCAGGTGAGGTCTGCAGATTTGGCAGTGGCAGCCACCTTCTGCATGGAGAGACAGGGAAAGTACAAAAAAAAAAGTCAAGAATTTTGGGGGAATATTCTTTCATGGAAAGACCTTGGCTCCACTTGACAGCCCAAGACATAAGGGCCTGGTGGTGCACACATAGAGACAACAGTTTTGGCACCTGTGGGCCAGTGCCTACAGCCTGCAAGTACAGCAATCCCTGCCCTAGTGGAGGGACAGGAGACAGGTGTCAGCATATGAGTGGAACATTTATAGGATGACTTTAGTCTCCCCACAGATGTTTCAGCACGTATCTCTCTCTCCTGTGTATGCATAGCCTTTTTTGTTCAGCTTCCACAACATTTATCCAGAGTGGTATTCAGTCACTAACCAGGAAGATATAACAGTAATATTTTAGTAATGTTGCTCCCTCTTTTTTACTAAAGTAAAAACCCACTGTTATGTGCATAAGGGTTTGTTGAGCATGAACTGAACTGTTTTCTAGCTTCCTATCAAATTGTTCATTAATGCCTAAATGAGCCAGCTATATTATTCTCTCTTTGTAGCAAGACAGTCTATGAAAACATCTGCATTTCCAGAGTATGAATGATTCAGAGATTCTTTCTTAGTGTTGCTCTTGCCCCTTCACATTCATCTTTTAAGGTGTCCTACTGACATATATTTCAGATCTGTGCAGAAGTCTTTTTCATGTTTATTACTAGCTGTGTCATGAGGCATGTTTCAAGTGCTGCTTTCCTTGCCTTTGACTGTGAAACAAGTAAAGTTCTGGGCTCAGGTACTTCCAGGGCAGCTTAACAAGATTTTACACTTCTGCAGAGCTAAATGTGTGAGTCATAAATACATAATTCATGTATCAGTCAAAGAAATCCACATTGGAGTATTTTATTTTGCATTTGTGAAGGGTTTAAATGTTCCCATAAAGTCTGTGATTATTCCTCTACTGAAGTGTTTGGATGCCTCAGGACTACAGGAACTCAATCCTTTGTTTAAGCTCACTCACATGGAGTTAACACTTTAAAGGCAGTGTGTCTACCTACGTGTGTATAGTGTCTGCTACCTCGTGAAACTTCAGTAAGATGAGAGTCTATCACAATGTTTAACTGCATTCCTGAGTGCAATGTGTGATGCAAGAAAAAAAAACATTAGATAGTGTGTTGACTATGGTCCTTGTGCATGAGAAAGAGTAAAATCCACAAAGACACAGCATTGTGTCAAATTTGGGTCAACCTTTATGCAAAGCTTTCAGGAAGATGAAAAATATTTGCTTTAAAATGTCATTATTTTTGAACACATCACATTTCTTCTTGTTCTTTCTTTTCCTAAGGTGCAAGATTATGAACATAATAGAAAATAAAATTATGAAAAAAGAATTTGCTGGTTTGTTAGTTTTTCTACCAAGGCTAGCAATGTAGTGGACCCTAACATATGACATTGATCACAATGTTAGCCTTGGCTCAGCTGAGTTTAGAGATTAGCTACTATGTACTGAAATGTGTAAGGCTGCATCTCCTTTGCTGTCTTTCTGCTTCCTAGATTATGCCAGCAGGCATTAAATTCCCCTATTAGGACAGGTGTATATGAGGACATATGTCCTATGAGGACATTAATTCATAATTCTGCAGTAAAATCTCCAGATTTTCTGCCTAATTTTTCTGCAGCTGGAACAAGCCCACTGTCTGCAATGACTATACTACCTTCATTATAATGAACATTGTTTTATACTGATACCGTTCCTTAGATCACAGTTCAGATCATACTTAAGGGTATGGTTTCCATGCATGCTGAATACCATAGGCTGTTTCCAAATAATCAAAGAGGGTAAGCACTGTACAGAAGCAGGAGGAGGGAAACTTTATGAATCCCAGCTCCTTGCTGCCAACCTGAGTTCTTTCTATCATTCAAGAACCCAGGCTGTGAATCATGGAGGCATTGCTGGGATTTGCTTTCTGCATTGGTTTGGTTTGGGTGGGTTCAGTGTTGCTCTGTCCTGCACTTTCTGCATGATGTATTGTGAGCTAGGTAGTTGCAGCTCAATCATCACAGCCACATGGCCTGTTTTCTCAATCTGAGAGAGCTGCAGTGCCCTTTTTGAAGTTTTACCAGATTTCCCTCTATGTATTAAGTGTAAAATCCATTAGAGTGCAAGCAGGAGGCTAAGCTGCACCCTTCCCATGTTCTCTAGTCCTTCTCTGTGTTTCAGATCCGATGCTGTCAGATGTTCTCATGTAATGACATGAACTTTATTCTTGTGAGTCTCTGCTGCAGGACATGGTCTGAAATGCCTTGACCCCATGTTTTCTTTTCTCTCCCAGGGACTTGCTACAGCGGCAATGGCCAGTTTTACCAGGGCACAGCCAATGTCACAGCATCTGGCATTCCCTGCCAGAAGTGGAGTGATCAGGTGCGTGTCAGTATGAGATCCACCAAATGGAGACCTGTGCTCGAGATTTGCTTTTTCTCAGAGTCAGGCAGCCCCGTCTCAGTGAAAGAGATGAGCAGGGAACAGATTGCCTCCATTCCTGACCTCACTGGTGTTTTACAGTCTCACCATATTTCAATCTGCAAGTTCCCCTTACTGTATCAAGATGCATTCTCTGTCTTTTCAGGTAACTGAAAGGCTGTTTCAAGAAAGGCTCTGTCTTGCTTCACTCTTTGGTGTTTTTTCCCCATTTTTAAAAATAATAATAGCAGGGAAAATGATGCTGAAACACTAATACAATTTGCTTCCTCCCCCAAGGCTCCCCATTTGCATAGGAGGACTCCTCAGGTTTTCCCTGAGCTGTTTGATGCGGAGAATTACTGCCGTAATCCAGGAGGTGAGAACGAGCGTCCCTGGTGCTACACAAAGGATCCAGCTGTGACCTGGGAATACTGCAGCGTGTCTCCCTGTGGAGACGGTAGGCAACTGCACTTTATAATTTCTGTAGTTGTTTTGTGGCCATGCAAAGTGTTTGCATCCTGAGTACACCAATCTGTTCTGTCTTCTGGATTCAGCTAGCTCTGGGTCGTCTCGTAGATTCACTCAGCATCTTTAACCAGAAGGTTTACTGTGCCCCATGAAGAGGGGAAAATGAAGACAGGCAAATCAAGTGCCTTGCCCTAGGTTATTTAAACACCAAAGATTAAGAGAAATGTCTTGTGCTGTTCTGAAAAATTGATTTGTCACACCTTTTAGAAGGTAGGGTTTCAGGCTGTTTTCCAAAGTTGTTTGGAGCGTTTTTTTTTTAGTAATAATCCACCCCAATTTTAACTAAAAATAAGCCTGAAAAAAATGGAAACATATTTGTTTTTTGATGTTGAAGCTAAGTCTTCCTGTTATTTCTTGTTTAAGGAACAGACCAATTTTTTGAAAATATTTCATCCAAGATTCCCAGTTTCTGGGTTTCAGTGCTTAGAAATAAGACTGCATTTGGAAACTTCATGCATGGGGAGCAAGGGTTCCATGGACATAAGTGAACACAAGAAATTTTCAGTTTAACTGGCAATTAAAAGGAAGAAGAGTTTAAATTTCTTTCTTCTGTCCTCAATCATTTCATGCAGAGAATAGCATTTTCTAGAATGTCTCAGAAACTACTCCACAGATATGTGATTTCCCCCTTCCCCCTGCCATAATACAGCCAAGTGTGCTTTAAACTTGTTTTCCACATTTTTCCCATAAACACACTGAGATGCAAATTACTGGGAGCAAGAGGATTTTTTGGGAAAGTATCATTCCATGTGCTTGGTCTTACACTCCTCCTTGCAGATTCCTTTTAGGATACATGATACATTGTGTTTTCCATTGTGCACCATTGATCTTTCTCACTGCAGACATTACTATATTTGAATACTGTTGAGACTATCAGATGTGACCTCCCATTTGTAACTCTTGCAAATATTCTATACCAAAACTGTGTTCCCAGCTCAATGGGAACTATATATCAGTCTTACCATATCTTGGTTTTTCACATGTGGCAAGCACAAATGTGTTTTCCTTCCTGCAGACTAAGCTTCCCTAGTATGATACTATCATGTGGTCATACAGTTGTATCTGTAATGTCAGTAATTCCCAGGATGACAGGCTAGCTCTGTGAATTCCTCTTAGAGAAAGCTCCATAAACTAGCAAAGGCATAACCCTCTGATTTTATTTACGTTGCAGCATTGTTATCACTGGGAACGAGAAAACCAAATGGAGAGACTCTAAATCTTCCCCCTTCTCCTTCCCCTACATACTCCATGACCGTTATCATCTCGATCATCTCCAGCTTTGCTCTGGTCGTGATCTTTGGCATTATCACCCTGGTTTGCTGCCGTCATCGAAAACAGTGGAAGAACAAAAAAAGGTAGAACTTGGAACTTAGTTCAGTGCAAGAAATGTTGCTTTGAAAAAAGGGCTTTCTTGTTTTTGAGAGTGAAGTCCTGTGGACACCTGGTAGGGCACTGCAGCCCTCCCTTTGCCTGTGGCAGCCCAGTGTAAGTTTTGTTGAACTCCTGTGCTAGAAGTACACCAGAAGGTGGCCTGGTGACTAGGGACATGGCATGACACACCTTGCTGCAAGGCTCCTCTAGTAGCCCTGCCACACCTTCCTTTTCCATCCTGAAAGAAATAAGCACAGGAGGAGGTATAGATAGTCATCTCTTGGGTGAGGGCTGTGCCCACACTGACCAAAAATCACTCCATTGTTTCAGAGACTCAGAGACACCAACTCTCACCACTCTGCCCTCTGAACTGCTCCTGGACCGGCTGCACCCCAACCCAATGTACCAGCGCATGCCTCTTCTCCTCAATCCAAAATTGCTTAGCCTGGAGTATCCCAGGAACAATATTGAATATGTGAGAGATATTGGGGAGGGAGCATTTGGGAGAGTCTTCCAAGCCAGGTAAGCAGTCTATTTGTGAGTCTTCTTTATCTGAAGATACTTGTGAAAAATTGGCACTGGAAATCCATCCATCCATCCATCCATCCATCCATCCATCCATCCATCCATCCATCCATTCATCCATCCATCCATCCATCCATCCATTCTCAAATGCGTGTGTACCAAATGGTACACAACACTCAGGTTTGGAAAATTGTTTTTGTTGTCCACTGCTGTCAATATTTCTTAAACTTTTGCCACGAATTACTCTTTTCTAATCTCTAGTAGATGTAATGCCTTACACACATACTAGAGTCTGGTATGAAAGTTCAGCTAAATTATGCCAAGAGTACAGATGCCTGTGACGTCTGACCTGTTGTGAAGTTCTTGCATTTCCCAGTATTTATGAATTGGCAGTGTGTGTTGATCTCCTTTATAACACCAATACTGATCTGTATAATTACTACAGAAGTCATTGTGTCATACTACAGTTCAGTTCCAACCAAATTTCAATTTGACTGAAAAAAATCAAAAGCTGGAAAACCAAATAAAACCAAACCAAACCAAACCAAACCAAACCAAACCAAACCGAAAATCCCCTAAAAATCCTCCCACATAGGCCAGTGGGGGAGTGGGGGGGAAGGGGGGATATGTGGCCATGTGTCTGTGATATCCCAACCTTAATGGGAAGCTTTTTAGCTTAATGGGAAGATTTTTAGGTGCTCACGGGTGAAAGGAACAGTAAAAGTCAGAGTATCTGCAAAAGCGGACAAATTTTTGTTAGTAAATTTCACACCTGCCATAGAAATAGCTATTTTATAGTCCTTGACCTCCTATATAAGCACAGGGCAGTGGGTTTTGAATAAAGGGGTAGTGTGAAAAGGAAGTCAGACAAAAAAATGGATTAGAGACGGAAGGAGAGAAAGAAACGAAGAAAGGAAGAAAGAGAGATCAGTGGTCCTGGCTCCACCATCAATTCAGTTGACGGAAACTTTAGGCTTCTGGGGCACATATGTGCCCAGGTTTTGTGGAGGTACATTTTAATAGTAAAATTTCTGTGACCTGGAGCTAACTTTCTCACTTTCTATACAAGTGAGTTTTCATGGGCAGCCCATTTTTCCAGACCTTTCTGGAAATGGTTTTTTGGGTTTGGAAGTCTTGGGATCCCTCCTTGCAGTCTATTCCCACTTACTTCTCAGCCTCATTCCTGCACTTCTGATGTATGGTGTTGTGCTTATCTCCAGGAGCCAGAACAAGGACACTTGTCTCAGAAAAATGTTGCCCTACCGCTGTATGGCCCCTTTCTCCAGCCATAACAATCCTTGGTTGGCTCCATGGCTATCTGGATATCGGTGTTTGAGTAACACACATAAATTCCCTTATCTCTAGACTTCTACAGTGTCCCCTTTAGCTTGTTTCTCACTTTTTATTTTTGACATTTGCAGCCACTGTTACCTGTTTTAAACCCAAGATATTAGATGACAGCCCAGCTCTGATAATATAATGGAAGATGAGATTGTGCACTTTCACAAATGTGGAAAATCTTTAACTGACAAGGCCAAAAATGAGGAGGATGGAAGATGTCTAGCTTTTCTTGACAAAATCCGTAATTTCTGCAAGACAATCTTTGGACAGTGACGGTTTCCTCCTAAAGTCCCATCCCCAAATTCCTAGAAGAAAGTGTACAGGCTGCATAGTTCCCTGCTTAGTCAGGGCAGTTATCTTTGTCTTTTGCAGTTAACAAGTATGGGGCATGGCTGATTATGTAGCTGCAGTAGTGAATGATTGCATCATAAAAACCCAGGGAAGGATCAGGGTCCCACCATGGACCAAGATCTGCTTGGTGAAATGCTTCTGCTGACTGACAAATCAAAGGACTATCCTTGCAAAAAGCAGTCATAATGCAGGTATTTGTAATGTTTGTAGCTATGCAGTTGGTGTACCTGCTAGAAAATTAGTTCTGTACAGGTTAAATGTGTGCAGTTGGGAAACAGTTTCAATAGCTGTGATGGATTTTTTTTTCCTAATGAAGAGATAAATTATTTCTTATGGAAGAAAGCAGGCATACTTTTCTTTATTACAGAGAGAACTAAAAATAACAAAATTCAAAGGGCATGCAGTGGGAATGTCACAGACACTTAGCCTGTGATGAATTGTTAGCCTGGATGGCCAAATGCATCTGAACTTGAAACAAGAACAAAGCTATAGAAATTGCACAACAGCTATGCTTGGGGCACTGCACACCGGGGTGCAGGGCAGCTCCACCCCAGCCTCAGCACAGTGCTTGGGGTGCCCTGAGGTGCATCACCTTCCTGCTCATGCTGCAGGAGTCTTCACCTGTGCATGAGCAGGACAGACATTCTTCCTGCCAAGTTCTGCTTTGGCTCTGCTCCGGGAGCTTTAATACTATTTGAGTGCTGCACAGACCCTTCTGAGCTTGAAATGACTTTCACTGACATCAAGCAAGGGCATTCAAATGTCACTAAAGTGATAGTTAAGCAAGTGCCAAAGTGGTGTAAAGGCCTTTTATGTGGATTTCATCCACTTCAGCACTGCAATTTCTTTCAACTAAGACTTTTTGTTATAGTCAGTATAACAAAAAGCTGGGAGAGAAAGACACGGGAGGGGAAAAAGAAGGCATCACATCTTATCTATCATTTGCAAATTGAGGAGAACCACATCCTGAGAGATGCTTGCTCTCTGTGGCTCAAGGAAAGAGCCACAGAAATATTGCTTCTGAGGGACCTCCATTTTTTTATTACCATCTCTATCAAAAAGGCCTCCAAGTCTTTATAATTCCTTATAATAAGCTGTGGACATTTCTGTGCACTGCTGACAGACCAGTGCAGACCCCATATATACTAGTACAAGCTGTGTGTCAATCCAGGTTACTGGAAATGATGAAAACTCAAATTATTACCTTCCTATCTCAGAAGGATAAAATGTACTTTACTGCATGTGTTAAATGGCCATCTCAAGCTAAGTTTAGCAATCCTCTTACTTCTCCTGCTCTCATGTTTCTCGCTCTTCTGTAAACACAGCTCTGCACTCAGTGCCAGTGATGCCTTTGCCAGTTGGCTGCTGTGAGTCCTGATTCAGTGTTTACTCACTCCTGGGTCAAGCAACATGTTAGGACAGGAAGTGTCTAGCTATCATTTACTAGATTCTCCTGAAAGGCTGCTGTCTTCACCAGGAACAGCTTCACACTTGGAAGGATAAGGAAGTAACCCTGCTTAGAACAAAATTCAGGGCCTGGCTCAGGTCTGCTCCAGCTGGGTCTTTGTGGCTGATTGTCCTCCTGGGAAGACCACGCAGGCCCCACAAGCCACCAGAGCACCAGCTCTGTGCAGTTCAGTGCAGACCAGCATGCAAGTTTTGTCCCAGAGCTGGGGCTGTGTGGTCCAGGCTAAGCCTGAAGATCAGGATTGTCGAAAAGCCTGGGTGTGGAGTCTTTGGTAGCAGGCCAGTATGGAGTTTTTGTTAGTAGGCTGGTAGAGCTACACTTCAAATGCACTACTCGTTGTTCCTCCTTAGGGACAAAGCTGTCCCTAAGGTCAGAGCTTCTTGACAGAAGTCTCCTCATGTGCTCTCCATTTGCAAAGGGTATTTGACCTGCTGTCTCATATATAGCTGAAAGATAGTGTGGGTGTTAATTAAAAAAACCCCAGCCTTCCCTGCCCCCTCAAAAAGCAGCCCCTGCTGACTCAGAGCAGTCTCCTGCTCATTTATTAATTAACCAAAGGATAGGGTAAAGGTAGATTCCCACCAGACTCAGTAGACATTAATTGCATTATTTAATGATCTAAGCAAAACTACCCAACTGTTGTGGTGAGCAAGATGGGGACAGGACGCAATCTCAAATACAGGTTCAGGCTGCTCTTCATTTTTTTACATAGTTACTGTTTTGGAAGGAAAACCTGTATGTAATGTCTAAGTTAGACATTCTCTAGGCAGGCTCAGGATGAAATTCCTAACTGCACCTCTGTTACATGCCTTTGAAAGGCATGTACTTAAATGCCAATTGATGCCTCTGGTGCACAAATCCATTGGTGCTGAAGCAGGTAAAGGGGTGTTGCTGTCCCCCCGTGCACAAACAGTGTAAATTTCTCCTCAGCTTTTAATTAATTGCAGAGAGATTACCTAAGGTAATTTCTTTTGATGCTTCCCAGTTCTAGAAAAGAATTAGCCCATTTTTTGTAAAACCCTTTCTGGCCCTCCACCTAAATTCTTCAGCTCAGAGGCAGCAGTTTCCCACTGCTACCCTGCTGTTGTGCCCCTATCATTTGTGCAAAGACTGTCTTTAGGGCATGAAAGAAGTTAACTTTGATAGCTATCTGCCAAGACTTCAGACTTTGTCTCTGTGCCTGATCAGTGTGAGTTTCCCAGGTCTGCTAAGAACTGTAGTGAGTCACCATGAGCTATCAAAGGTGAAATTTCTGGGTTTTGCCTGAAGGCCAGTTAAAAGACCCTGTGCAGCTTAACTTGGTTACATTTAGGTTAGTTTACATTACAGGAATCAGTGAAATTGGGTGGTTGGGTGTACATCAGCTCGGGGTGAGTTTCTGTCTGCAAAGCAGGCAGGACTGGGCTCTGCCTACCCTTGCTTTGGCACTGTGCTGGGTCTGCTAGTCAAGGGTGAGTGGTAATCTGTAAGACTATTTGGAAGACATAAAGGCCTCCTATTTTTACTTTTAAATTCTCTATTATTTTGTTGAGGCTGCTGCTGCTGCAGGCTCTAATGCTGAGAATTGGCAGCAGGTGGTAGGTGCTCGTATTCCTCCCCTCCTAGTAGACTGGAAACTGCTTGCCAGCGCAGGGGAAAAGAAGGAAGACACTGCGCTGTAATGGAGGCAGTAGTAGACAAGTGTGGGGTCTCATTCTCTGCTCTGGCATGCCAGACCTCCTTGCCTGAGTGTCTCAGCTGTGATCTAGCCACCTGTGATTCCTTTCTTGATGGACACCCTGCCATCCAGTGACATTTGACATTTACAGCATCCAAGTGCAACTGTTGCAACTGCCATGTGTCTGAAGTAGAAGACAAGGAAGCTGGAAGTTTGCTTTGGAAATTGGAGTCTCCTCTAGGTGCTACTGAGCAGTAAAATAAGCTGGCATTCGAGCAATGGGAGGGCAGTCTGGCTGGTGTAGTAACATGACGCATAAGTGGGCACCACTCTCTATGGGCTCCGGCTGGCTACCTGTACGGAATGTCTTTTAGCTCCAAGGCCCCTGGGAAGAATTTGTGCAGGAAACAAAATGTACGTCTGAGGTTTGGTGCATGTTTGAAGGGTGGAAAGTTACCCTTCTCCAGCAACAGCTATCCCTAATTCTTTGGCAAGCCCATCTAATTAAATATGTTGAGGGATAAGAAAACAAGTGTGTTGCTATAAGTCAGGATTCTGTTTCCTAAGGATTTGTGTGTCTATAAGTTTTAGTTGAAGATTCACCAGTGTCAAAATGTGTGTATTTACACATTAACTTGTTCTTCAGACAAGTTTGCTTTGTCCCTTCTGTCCTGTCATGTGTTTCCACAAAATCTTGTAGGAATATTAACTGTTTTCTAGACCTCAGCTACACCACATTACATCCAGCTGAAATTAGCTAATAGTTTTATAATTTGTTGAATTAAAAGTGCATACACGTGCCACACACACGTACACAGAGAACAGTAACAAAAGGCTATTTTCCTTAGGAAACCAAGGGAACTTGGTTGGAACACTTACTGTTATTGTTACTTTTACTCCAACAGTAGCCAGATTTACCAAAGTCACCATTGTGCCAGGTATGGCAAAGGAGGCTCTTTCATCAATTTCATAGAAATAGGTTTATTTTTAACTCAGCCATTACACCCCAAAAGTGAATTGTTTGGACTGAAGAGTCCATCCTGTCCTCCATAAAGTTTAGGATGTGATCTCCAGGCTAGGGAGAGGTTGCTTCTTACCAACCTGTTACTTATTTACACCTTTACCAGACATGGTAATGAGTCTGTAAGCAGCAAGGCCAGTAATCATAAAAAGCTGTACTGAATCTAGTCCCCCCTGAACCAAATTAGACATCTCTATAATATGCAATGCATATTGCAGTCCCAAGAGATGAAACTGGGCTTTAAGGTTCCTTCTGTTGGTTCTGGGGCCTTCAGCCTCTTTTTTTTTTTTTCTTTTTTTTTTCTTGTTGGTCAGCCTCTCTTTTTTTATCAGAAACAAAACCTATATTTAGTGTGCATGTATTCATCACTGATGGTTTCCTCTTTTCCCTGTTGTTGCAGGGCCCCAGGGCTGCTGCCATATGAACCTTTCACCATGGTAGCAGTGAAAATGCTGAAGGAGGAAGCATCTGCAGACATGCAGGCCGACTTTCAGAGGGAAGCAGCTCTCATGGCAGAGTTTGACAATCCGAATATCGTCAAGCTTTTAGGTATCTCAGTGAGGCATCCTGTTGCCTTAACAGGATGGTGCATCACAGCAAAGACTCCTCATGCTGCACTGAGTATACTGCTGGCCATCTTGCTGCCTAGCTCTGCTTCCGGTCTAGTAACTTTGACACAGATGTCTTGCAGTGAAGACATGAACTTCCTGGAACTGTGATTTATTTTGTGGGTACTGAAAAGAAATAGCACAAGTTTTGTTAGTCTTATAGGTCCCACTTACTATTGTGATGTCTGAACACTTAATAGCATTAAAAAAAGCAAAATTAAATGAACAAAAAAAGCCAGCCACAAAAATGGTCTCTTCCTTTCCTTCCATTCTCATCTCTAAGGTCATCTCTCTTTGTTGGATTTTTTAAAAAGTCTTGATGCTGCAGCTTGGCTAATAAGACATTTTCTGAGGAGAAAACTGCTGACTAAAAATATTCTTTTAGAAAATTGTCATTTTTTGTCTGAAGTAGATGCTGCTGGCCAGCTTTATCTGTCAATCGTGCTTTAAGTTGTTGTATGCAGATCTCATTCTCATGAACAGAGATCTTAATTTATTTCAGTAGGAAGTTCCACAACATTTTGAAATGGATAAAGCACAATTTTGGGAAAGCTGGGTTGGTACCTTGGCTACAGGAAAGAGAAGCAGGAAATACACCAAGCTCGACTAAACTTTGTGTTTACTGTGAACACCTTTTAGGCCAGAAAACGACACAGGTACAGGCACAAACTGGTATCACGTCATGGGGCTGTGGAGAAACAGCCACATTGTTAAAGACAGCTTAGATGATAAATCGCTCACATACACTTGTCAGATTCCAATGTCATCAGATTGGGAACAGCCATTTGTTTTTCCTCAAAGAATCAAATATTAGGTCATCAACCAGAACTTCAGATTTTACAATAAGTTCTATCACCAATTGCTGAATGATGGCCCTAAGAAAGCAAAACACATACATTTTAAATGTTGGCCTTTGCTGGTTAGAGGCAAGCTTATTGTATCACTGTATGATGAGTAAGGCTCATGGAAGTGTGGTTAATGCTGGCCCACCCACCAATAGAGCTGATGAAGAGCCAAGCATGTGCCCTTCAGTGGGACTGCATCCTCCATCTAACACATATGGCAAATATCTCCCCTCTGCTGTCTGTTTTTGATTTGTCTTTCTTTCATTTTTTAATGTCTGTCATGCCAGAAGTAATTCCTCAACCATCATTTTTTGCATGAGTTGTTTAAAAGAAAAAGAAAAATCTACAAGGGCAGGAATTTCCTTGAAATTCAAGTGTTCCACCGAACCCTTGAACATGCCCCATGTAAATAATTTTGAAGTCTTCCTGCATATGTGTCACCCCTACAAAAATACGTTGTAATAATACAATAGTCACAAGAAATAAAAGAATTAGAAATAACATGATCAGAACTTTAAAGGTTACTTCCTGAATGTCCTTGCAGTTGCACCTAGGAAGAGGCAAAACTTCTGCTAATACAAACTTAAGCATAAAGCATAAACTTAATTAAACATAGGTCCAAAATTCTGTGTTTTACCTGGGATGTCGAGAAAAATTCTGCATGCAGGCATGTGCATGACTTGTTAGCGTCACCCACAGAGCTCAGCATTAGATCCCTGATGAAGGAACTTCAAAAGAGGCAGCATGCATGATGGATGCATGCAAAGTGCATGGTATTTGCATAGTTACCTCTCTCTCTGCGTTGCTGAAAGCTTCCCTTTTGCTTGATTTTGACTTTTTGGCTTTTGCACAGCAGAACTCCCTTTTTAGCTACCCAAATGACCTGTGTGGTCTGTCCTCTGCCAGGCGTGTGTGCAGTTGGGAAGCCGATGTGCCTGCTGTTCGAGTACATGGCCTATGGGGATCTAAACGAGTACCTGCGCGACCGCTCGCCCCGCAACCTCTGCAGCCTGGCGCAGGGCAGTCTGGACACAAGGCTTCGCCTGCCGAACCCCCTGGCACTGTGCTGCACCAGCCAGCTCTGCATTGCCAAGCAGGTTGCTGCTGGCATGGCCTACCTCTCCGAGCGAAAGTTTGTCCACCGGGATTTGGCCACCAGGAACTGCCTGGTGGGGGAGAACATGGTGGTCAAAATCGCAGATTTTGGTCTCTCGAGGAACATGTATTCGGCTGACTATTACAAAGCAAATGAGAACGATGCCATCCCCATCCGCTGGATGCCTCCTGAGTCCATTTTCTACAACCGCTACACCACAGAGTCTGATGTGTGGGCCTACGGAGTGGTGCTGTGGGAGATCTTCTCCTATGGCATGCAGCCTTACTACGGGATGGCTCACGAGGAGGTCATCTACTACGTGAGGGATGGGAATGTCCTCTCCTGCCCAGACAATTGTCCCCTGGAGCTCTACAACCTGATGCGCCTCTGCTGGAGCAAGTTGCCTGCTGACCGGCCGGGCTTTGCCAGCATCCACCGCATCTTGGAGCGCATGTACGAGAGGGCCGTGGACAACATGTCTGTCTGAGGGGTGCATTTCCTTCTTTTTCTCCTGTGTCCACCTATCCAGACTGACCTGGACCGTGAGCTCCCGAGCGATGGTGGCTTCACACAATGTCCCGCTCAGGGAGGAGAAAGAGCTTGTTCCACTGCCAAGCGAGAAATATAGACTGCACCCTTTTGCACCTCCTTGAGTGGGACTGAACTTTAGCCACCAAGATAGGCCTCCTCAGGTTGGTGAGAGTGCTGGTCATGCTAACGCAGTACTTATATTTAGCATTTCCAGAAGCACAGAGTTGCCCAGGGAAAGCAAACAAATATTTCTTCCGCTGTTTCTTCCCTTCCTAACAGATCCCACCATGCTCTTCTGCACTCTTGGCTTTTACCATTTTTTCCCCTTTCTCTTATGTTTTCAAATGTTATTTAAAAAAAGATTGCAGAGTTCAGTCTTCTTTTGGGGATATTTTTGCATACTGTTTACTATTTTGTTTTTGCATACTCAGTCCTTTTTGCAGAAAAAGGATGTTTCTTAAGCCATAGGCTACTATTGTCTTCCTTTTAACTTCCACTCTCTCTGATTACAATAACACTGACAGAGTCAAAACAGGAGCCTGCTGGACCACTGGAAGCCACCTGCATCTTATGTTACAGAGACAGGCAAACTCCTGTCAAGTATGACACTTTCCATTTTCCAGTGTGGGAAATCCAGAGTCACGTTCATTTGATGTTTGTTAAAGTTTCACCTTAAAGCTTTCCTTAAGCATTGCAACATGTCTTTCCTGCCTTCTGCTGAAGCAGCAAAGCCATCTCGTCCTATGGGAGAAATTCATCCCAATAGCCTGGTGTTGCACCTTGTAGGCATCCAAGGTGTATTTATTTGCCACTGCATGGTCCTCACCATGCTGAAAGCAGGGAGAAATGCATCCACTTTTGCAGAAGCGTGACAGGTGGTATTAACTGTTTATTTCCTTTTCCTTTACAATCTTTGCCTCCTGTTTCTGGTTTTCCTTTCCTGACAGACTCTCTTAAGTTCCACTACAATATTTGCTGGCCCCTTGTGCTGTAGTTTACAGACAGAGAAGTAAGGAAGGTGGATGTCTGCCACCAGTGTCCTTCAGAGACAACCTGTCAGTAAGGAGAATATGGAGAAAGTGGGTGCACACAAGAAGAATTGCAAACTGTACATCTGCAGGGCAAAGATGAGACTGCAGACTCAGTTACACATCTCCAAACACCAAATGTTTCTCTGGTAAAAGTTCTCCAAATTGTAATGGATACTTTAGTGCCCGAGAAAATTTTATTCCTCTGCTGACAGTTGTAACCTTTTAGCTCCTTGTGGAGTGAGGAGCAGTTGTCCCAGAGCCTCATTGCTGATACAAAATATAGCCTGAGGCAGGGATGTGCATTATGACTGAAGAGCAGGAGTGCAAGGGAATGAGTGTGGGTTCTGTGACTGGGACACACTGGTTTAGCCTAAACAGAAAGCAGCAGCAGAGAGCAGCTATCTATGGTTTCTGAAAGGTAAGCTTGAAAAGGACTGTGAACCATCATCAAGAACAGAATGGGAAAAATCATACTTTCCTCTGCTGCTCTTCTCTTTGTTTGGGTTTTTATTTTGTTGGTTTTGTTGTTTTGTTTTTTGTTTTTTTTTTCATATAACCATAGTTTGTTCTGATTGTGGCCACAACAGTATAATTTAATGTTTTCAGACCACTGGTGTCACTTTCACTTGGAGCAAAGAGCTTGCAATTACCAAAGACAGTGGCAAGAAAAGAGGTTCGGGCTGCAAATTGTTGAAGTGCTAAAATGGCATCTGCACAGTGAGCACAAAATGGCCAGTGTTGTCTTACTCATTTAGCAGTCCTACCATCATGTTGCTATGACACAACAGTTTACTGAGGTTTGGAGGCTAAAGACAAATACCCTTGAAAATTCTGAAGCCCCTAAATTTCAATAAAAAATTATACTGGCTATACTGATATAGCTCTTGTTATCGCATTATGACCACCTCGAAGTGGTTTAAACTTCATTGTTAAACTTCTGTTAGGTTGTATCAGCTCCCTGTCTGTCTTGCTTGTTCTGAGGAGGCAGAAGTGAGAAGGCAAGCCGGGAGGGATGGGGGAGTGGTGCCGACCCGAGCCGAATACACAGCCCAGGACTTGCATCATCTCTGTAGGGGAGGCTGCACATTCAAGATCCTTGCACTGCTCAAGGCATCAGGCGTTGTGTCACCCTCTCTATAGAGAGGGCAGGGTCAGAAGTTGTGTGTGGGTGGTGGTGTGGGGCCAGGTACCTCACACCTCCTCTGAAGCTGGAATGATTCTTACGCTAAGCAAAGCGCACAGTAAGAGGTGCAAAACCTGCACTGTGTGCAAAATGTAAACAAACACACCCATGTTCAGTCTGGAGGACAGTCTGCCTTTCTGCCTTCTAGGATCCCACTTAGGACCTAGGATCTTCAGTTGTTCATTCTCCCATTATCCCCGGAAAATGATTTTAAAACTGTAATCACAGTTTTCTTCTTGTTAGCTGCCTGTAATGCCATATGCTTGGAATTTTCATTCACTTTCTTTGTGAAAGAAGAACTCCCATAAACTTGAAAGTGTAACCCTTTTCATCTAATTTTCCTAGCCCAAATGCTTCTCTCAGTGGCCCCATACTTAGGGTAACAGTGGAAAATTCGGTCTTCCTCATTCAGCATTCCAGCCTTTGCATTATAAGCGTGTACTGAAGTGTGAGGTAGTCACTGTCTGCAGGTCAGGAGGGGGAAAGCTTCCTTTCTTGCAGGAGAACAGAGATCATTTCACTCAGAGAAGCTCTCAGCAACATGCTCTCCAGAGATGGTAATTGCTTCTGCGTACTGATCCAGCAGGAGGGCTTAGCACCTAAATGGTGCTGTCCTTTGAGGATTAAACTGTAGCAGGACTTATGCTGCCTTAGTGTGCATCTGGATTTTACCATTTCCTTCTGCTGTATGTTTTTCAGCTTGCTAGGAGATGTAGATTGACTGCTTTCATGACATGCCTTCTTTCACAGATTTTTTTTCTACTCCTTATGTTTAAGATTCTGTTGTCTTCATTCTATGTTATACAGTGTGCTATGCCAGATCCTTCTAGACTTTCTGTACCATTACCCTGTAACATTAATTATTTTGAACAGGAGTAAACAAAGGGATTATGAGAGAGTAGAAGAGCAAGAAAAGTTTGTTATTCAAAAAAGTTGCTTGGAAGCAAAAATATTTTGCTTCTCTAGTTTGGATTTACAATTCATGTGGAGGAGGATGAATCAAAAATGAACATTTTTGTGTTCATTTTAGAACATTTGTGTGCTGCAAGGTAGAGCACTTTTCTACATTTAGTTCTGTCCATACTGGCCCAAAAAATACAGAATGCTTCATGAATTTACATGTCACCATTGTGCAGGGACCATTCTAATATATGAATTTAAAATAAACATTTTGGTGCTTTGGTTCTCCTTCACACTGATAGCAGAGGGAGCCAGCAACTAGGGCACTGGATGAAAACCCCAAGAAGAGGATTTGCAGCACACATGATAAATCCGTTCCCTTTGCAAGTGTGCTGCCTTGAGCACTGGCAGCATGTGTACTTCTTTATCCTGGGTAACATATTGTGAAATCTGACCAACCAAATAGCACAGAAATCCTCTCATGTTCCTGTGCCTCCATTTGACAGTTGCATTTAAAATGCACTTTTATAAGCATAAATTCCATAATTGATTTGACACTGTTTGCAACATGATCAAATTTAGTTTGGAGGAACTTCCTCTCAAACACTTTGTGGGCTAATCGTAGCTGTCTTGTCTCATTTACCCAAGGGAATATACTAGTTATTATTCTGTGATTGTTTCTTATACCTTCCTGAATGATGGCTTTGAAAGACATCTCTAGCAGAGATGTGCACTTCTCATTATCTCAACCTGTGTAACTCATGTGTGCAATATTTTATAAAATAAAGAGACATTGAAAAGGATAATACTATAATACTAATTCTGTTCTCTTTGTTCTCTTCCTTCTCCAGCATGTTTGGGGTTTTTTTGTTCATTTTTTTGTTTGTTTGTTTTGGTTTGCTTTGGTTTGGTTTTTGTTTGGTTGGTTTTTTTGGTTTTGATTTGCTTTTGCTTTTGTGTTTTTTTTTCTGAAAATGAATATATTTAATTTTATTAAAATATCTTTGTTACAGCTTTTATATCACAGTGGTTAAACTGCAGGCAATTGCAGCAATAAGTCAACTTAATGTGTGCTCAAAGGCATGTTGTTTTGGTGGATTAAATTGGGTGCTGTAGGAACACATTAAGAAATTTTACATTATGAGATCACATTAAGGACTGGACAAGGGAAAGGAGAATGTTTTTACAGCAGTGTGGATTGGAGTCCCTTGACCACTATCCCAAGGTGTAAGATGCCTCACACAGATGGGAATGACATCTGTCTCCATCCCAATGTCTGCTGGTATTTGTGCCTGGATTCTGGTCTTACACCTAGATGTGTGGAATTAGAGTGTGACATAAAATCAAAAGGGAATCAAGTTTGCTGTCTGTAGAACACAGCTGAACAGTTTCATGCTGATGGGTTTATCTAAAAGATTATAACTCCTTTCTTCTGCAAGTAATCCTTGAAGATTAACTCAGTAAATCTGTGGGTTTTTTAACTATTTCAAAACTAATTGCAAATCTTTAACAGTCAGAAATGGGGAATCAAAACTTTCTGACCACAATTAGTCAGGCAAACCGGGAAGTACATTCTTTCTTTCCTTCTTTCCCCCTCCCTGCCCCTCCAATACAATCTAAAGTGTTTTCTGCAAATCTTCCTGCTAGAAACCTTAGGAAAAAAGTTGCTTTGTAAATATTGTCCTTGCTGAGAAAGTCATTAATGAATTCGGAAAGGAGTTAATTTTTCATCCTCTCAATCAGATTGAATCATATTAAAGGTTTGACTGTTAACATCACAAGTTTTTCAAGGCACAAGAAGGACTGGTGCATGCATTTCCCATCACAAAATGAACAGATTTTTGAATTTGTAGAGGAAAATTCTTCTAGGCTAAAAAGTTGACTCTGTGACAGAACCTGTCTGTACAATCTCTGCCAGGCTTCCCTCCTTCCAGCCCCTGAGGTCACCTGAACCAGACAGCACAATGGGATGTCCCCAGTGCCTTGAGTCACCCTGAATATTCTAGGTAATTCAGCCATCCTGCATGAAACAGTGAGAGTAACTTGGGACTGGGAAAAGCAGAAGCATGTAATAGTTTACTTTTCCTTGGCTTTTATATGTGATTTTGTAAATGCATATCCTTGTGTTTGTGTATGTGCATATGGGAAGAGAATGAGGAAGCTCGCAAGGAGGGCAAAAGAGGTTTCACTCAGCCCTCTATGCAAATTGCTTGTTGTGCCTTTCCATTCATTCTGAAACTTTGCATCTTCAGATGTGTAGTAGCAGCTACTTGGCTGCATGGTCCCAAGAGGCCTTTGCTAAATTTCTGTCATTGCAGTGATGTGGGAATTGTTGCCCCTCTGCTGCTGATGTGGAGCTCTGAAGAAACATGAAGCAACTTTTCCTATTCCATAAAGAATTCAGAGGCTTTCAGTGATACTCAAATGCAGACTAGGATCATTTTATTATTAACAAGAAGGAAAAAAAGGGGAAAAAAAAACCCTATCAATTTAACTATTCCACCAAGCCCACAAAGCCTGTCATAATAATGTCACAGGTGTTTTATAAGTTTCTCAACCTTGGGAGAAAAATTATGTACTCATTCAATGAAAAATCTTTAGAAACTCACCTTTTTATGCATTCTTGCTGTGCATAGCTAAGAGCATTCCCTGGAGGCCTCTGTCTGTACTTAGTGGCACCGTGGCCAGTTGTAACTGTAAGAAGGGGAACGTACGAGTAGTTTGAAGCTGCCCTTAAAAATCAGAACTAGCAATTTTCTTCAGTGCTGGAGTGGTAGCCCTTAGCAAAGGTCATACTTTATACCACTGACATATTCATGTGCTAACACACCATCTTATAATATCCCACAAATTTAGTATTGAATAAATAAGAGTTTCATTAGCAACTGATAGGCAGAAGGTTTTATGGTAAATTTGGACCAAAAAGCAATCAATTAATTAATTTATTATATTTATTGAAGAAATATTTTCCTTCTGTCTGCTGGGATGCTTTAAATCTTGTGCCATTTATAGGCCAGTGTGCTTACTTTGACTGTGAGATAACCACACCATACATTTCTACTGGACATGAGTGAACATGTTGAAGCACTCGTATGTTTATCTGCCCTCCACCATGGCTCTTATATAAAAGAGATGTTACACTTTGGGAGTTTATATAGGCTAGCTAACTTTTATGTAAACAAAAAACTTAATGGAAGAGGGGATCTGTGCAGAAATGAGGAGTGCCAGATGAATGAATGGGGGTTATTCACCTTCTGGATGTTGAGATCATTCTGTGCTAAATTTGACTTCTTATTTAAAGCAGTGTTAACTTCAAAGCAGCAACACTGAAGAGCAGGGGGGCTTTGGTAATTGTGAAGATGGGGAACTTCCCGTGTCTGGCTGAGAACAGATGGGATAATGTGGGATAGCTGCATGGAAAGTGCAGTAAGGAGCAAGGCATTCCTCAGCTGAGGAGCAGACCATTTTCCTGAGGGATTCAATATCTGTCAGTCCCATGCCAGATTCACTCAGATTTGTCTGAGGTTTATTTGCTTTTGTTATTTTTTCTTCTGTTCTGGAACACAATGAGATCTCTTGATGCTTGCACTCCAAGACCCTGAACCCTCCACACCTTGTGCTCTTCTCAAGGCAAAGGGCAGGACAGCCCGACTCCCTTTCCCTTCCTCCCAGCAATGTACCACTTTCATCTGATCACAGGGTCTACATAGGAGCCTGTTTGTGGAACAGGGCAGCACCAGTAAACAAGAATGTTTCCACACCTCTTACAGTGGTGAAGAGATGTGGCTGTTTTGCCCCTGCACAGAGCAGCACTATCCCTATCCCCACCTGACCTGCAATACAGGTGCAAGTCTTTATGGGGCTGGGAGGCTCCATTTTGTTTGGAATGAGCTCCTGGAGAGGACTGTACAAAATGTTCAGATCAAAACTTCCAGCAATGAAAAGCCACTCAGGTTTGGGTGTCATTACTGGCCCTGATGAAGTTTGCCAGGATGATCTGCATGCCGCTAGGCTGCTGAACGGCTACATTTCAAGAGAAAGTGCTCTGATTTATAGCTCTGTGTCAGCAGCACATTGCAGTCCAACAGCCGTGGACTGACAGGGGAATGGACAAGACGACTTGGTATTGGTATGTTTTACATGTGAGATCCTCAAGTCAACAGCAAAGCATTTTAATGATCTGGCCTCTCATTAATCTCAGATGTGAAAAACTGTGACTGTCTGTGCACCAGGTGACACCTGTCTAGACAAAACAATAAACTTTTTTTGGCTAATCTATTTTACTGTGTACCACACCACATACAGACACAACACTAGGATACTTATAAACTGTGCTGAACAGGATTGCTGTCTCTTTTGCTAACAATATGCACTATTGCCCCAGTCTACAAGACAGAAGAGTATTTGATTTAGCTTGCTTGAGATAAATCCTGTCGATGAGAGGGACACTCTGCCTATTTGGAAACATACCCTGACTCAGCAAGACTTACACAAATATTTTTCTTGGACAGCTACCATGCAGTCAAGTAGCTGCTACTACTACACATTTGCCCTTTTATGCCAATCCAGACAAAGGATTATCTGTTAGCAAGAAGTTGTTAAAAATAACTTGAGATAAAGTGTTAGATTGAATTCTTACACATGAGATAAAAGTATCTCTGTATACAATAAAAAATTTGCATAGTTCATCCTTTTGGAACTCTGAGATACTCTTTGCCTTCACTAATTCTAACTAAAGCAATTCTAACTTTACTCAGAGATTAGTGGGGCTGATAATTATTCAGTGCTTCTGCCAACACTGAAGTGAAGGGGCTTCCAATGAACTTCAAAACAAGGATGCAAAAAAAATCATACTCAGGGCAGTTATATACACATGAGGCTACAGATGCCAAAGTATGAACACATTTAAGGAAAAAAAAACAAACAGATTACACAAATTCCTATGGGAGAGGCCTGTCAATTTGCATTACATTTGATGGCTTCAATGCTTTACAATGTTGTTTTCTAGAGGAACAAAGCTGATTTTGGAGGAACAAAGAGCAAAACTCCTACTTTATGGATGTAGGTATGACCTGAACTGGTGCTTTTCTTAAACTATCTGCTGGCAACAGTTGGAGTCATGATACCAAAGATTTGTCCTTCTGATACCTGGTTTACTGCTCCTATTCTAAGATTCCATTGTAGAAGGGCCTGGGTTGTAAAATCTGGGCTCAGATTACAGGTGTCTCTTACCTGAAGGATAATTGATTGGTCTGGGCTTGGCATTGGCATGTAAATGGATGAAAAAAACCATGCTAACTTCCTGGTTTTCTTTTACTGTGTTTTAGTTTCTTTTGGATAATTCTTTTAGCACCTTCTCAACCAACACCTGAGCATCCTTCAATGGGCAATTGACCTGTGTGCACATGCAGGGCTGAAAGAATCAGAACAAACTCCTGGTGCAACTCAAAGTACTGCTACCCACTGACTGTGTCAATGACTTTTGACCATGTTTCCAGCTGACAGAGATGCAACAGTATTAAACATTTTAAGGAAATAACTTAAAGGCATAAGGAAAAATAGAACAGATGATGCAGAGTAAGAAGCCAAGGCCATCTGCAGAGGAAGGTTCTAGAGACTAAAGCCTCTACAGCTGTGCACGGTACCTACAGTTCAGTTAGGAACTCTAACACTGTGATCCCGCTGTGGCAGCTGGGATTGCACACAGACATTTTCCAAGTTAAAATCACAAACACCTACATTTGGAGGTCTTGTCTCTGAGCAAGCCATAGGGAAATGTGTG